AAACGCACACTTCAAAGGCCGTGGGAGAGATGGACGCTAGAAAACGAGGGGAGTCCCCGACCGTGAAGGAGGTGCAGGCCCCCCTGGGCCCTGAGGGGGTTGGACGCCAGGCCCGTGGGCCTGATGCGATAGGCTGCCTGCGGTCGGGGCTTCCTGAGCACCTCCCAGCCTCCTGCCCTTTGTTCCCAGAGGGTGGGGGGCTTTGGCCCTGCCTTCCTCCCACCTCCTTGGCCCTCCTCCTAACCCTCCTCCTGAGGGTCATCTTTCTGGCTCTTTCTCCTTTCTTGGGCGGAAGGAGGGGGAGGGAAGCTGCCAGGCTGGGAAGAGGGGCTGAGGGCGGATCCTGGAGCTCCGGGCCAGCCCTGGAGAAATGGCTGCTCCTGTATGGAGGCTTCAGCTGAGCTGATTATTTTATGCCCCCCTTTGCCTGCTTGCTGCAGAGAGAAGCGGGGCACTAGGACCCGCGGTCCTCTAGGTGAGGGTTGAGGTCTCTAAGCCAATGGCTCGCTGGCCATCCCCCCTGGGCTGCATTCAGCTGGAGGGTCAGCTCAAAAAGGCTCGCTTTATTCCACAGGGCTGAGCCCCTCCTCTGAATGGGCGTGGTGAAGGTGGGTGATCCAGGCCTACCCTGCCATTTTGTCTCTGGGTGTGCTGAGTTGAATATTATTAATACACCTACCTTTTCGTGTATTACCGTATATTATTTGATTACCTTATTTGATCCTTAAACCTATCAGGCTTTAAGAGGGAGGAACTGAGGCTCTAAAAATTTCAGATCCCAGTCACTTATATAAGTGACTCATACATAAATAAGCCACAGCCCTGTTCTGCCTCCCTCTGAATGGGTGGCCTTACCTGAAGCTCCAGTTGGATTGGGCTTTGAATTTTCTGGAGAATGGAGGCAAAAAAACTAAAGACATGGCTTGACATGATAGTTGCCTTTTCTGTTCCTCGCTGTTAATAGAGCCACAGACTTATCCTGTGTACCTGCCAGATCCAGTGCTAGAGCCATGGTGGATGCTGGGGGGTGGGGGGAGGAGCCCTGCTGCGCAGCAAGAGTCAGGTGCAGCTTAACTTTGGCCCTTGGGTTGAGAGGGTCTGGGTGTCCTGCAGCTATTGCTGGGGGTGGGGCAGGGCTCTCCTTGTTACTGACTAGGCAAGGGCTGCCTGTTTTCCATTTTAGGTTTACATCATTCAGGTCACTGACGGTAACCATGAATGGACAGTCAAGCACCGCTACAGCGACTTCCATGACCTGCATGAAAAGGTAATGAGAGCTGGGGGACCTGTGTCTCAGGGCTTGGGAGCTTTTAGACCAGATTCTTGTTGTGCCACATACTAGTTTTAGTACAAAACAGATTTCATTCTTACAGTGTTCTTTAATAAACAAGTTTATTAATATAAGTGGCAAAAAACCAAACTGGTGGTTCCTGGGAGTACAACCCTAGCATAAGACTGTGTGAGGAGGATATTTGAACTTCAGCTTTAAGATAGCCAGTCCTAGCTTGGATGTGAGATGCCGGGATAGTTTCTTGGGGGAGGGAATAGGTTTGAATTTGCTTGACCCGACTATAGCTATTCCACAGCCTATACTTTAAAACTGGCTGTGATTCCATTTTTTTCTTTGCTTTTGGAAAGAGATGCCTTTCTCTGGGTCATCTGCAGCCTGAGTGTTTTAAAGACAGGCCACTGTCCTGATTGGTTTTCGTTCTTGTTTGGAGAAAATGGTGATTTTAAGGGCCTGGAGGTCTCCTTTTCTAAATGTCTCCAGATGGAGCTCCCTGTCTGGGATTGTGCTGGTATTTCTCATGCTAACTGAACTTGATGAGGCCAAGCCCAGGTGCACTGGTTTGACCACTAATCCGGGTACAGGTGCCGTGAAGGGCTGGGGAAGTCATAACAAGCATCTCCCCTCAGGTTGCTTGCCTTGGTCTTGTAGTCGCAGAACCTCTTGGTCTGTGGTTGACCTGCTTATGTTTTCTTACAGCTTGTTGCAGAGAAGAAGATCGGTAAAAATCTTCTTCCGCCCAAAAAGATAATTGGGAAAAACTCAAGAAGCTTGGTGGAAAAGAGGGAGAAGGATTTGGAAGTCTACCTCCAAACACTCCTGGCCACCTTCCCTGGCGTGGCCCCAAGAGTGCTGGCCCACTTCTTGCATTTTCAGTTCTATGTAAGTTCCTCTCAGGTTTTCTCTTGCCTGTAAGCCCACAACCACCGAAACTCAAGGCAGCAAACCAGTGTAGACCTCAGCTTTGAGGAAGGGTGGGCTGGAGTTTGATCCCGAGGTCAGAAGACGGAGGACCATCACCCTGGCGAGGATGGGGTGTGGGCAGAAGCATGTTCGTTGATAGGTTTGCCTTACACTAGACAGACTATGACTATAGAGAGGCTTTTCTCCACCTCAGGTATTTGGTTAGCAAACACAGCTTGTGGGTGTTGGAGCTAGGTTTCCATCCAAATGGATGGGGATAGATTAGAAACAGCTAACACCTGGCATAGACTAGTGTTGAGTTGTTGGTCCACAGCTCAAGACTCATTAAGGGATCAGTTTGTGTTGGCAGAATTGCCATCTTGGGGCATTGTTGGGGTGTGAGGTGTGAGTGAGGGTAGGTGGCTTCCTTGGATGGGAGTGTATGTCCTGGAGCAGCTCTGCATTTCCTTCTGTATGAAGGAGCAGCTTTCATTGGCTGCCGGTGACAGGATGAGCTTCAAGCTTCAAGGAGGGAAGTTTGGCAGTATGAAACCAAAACATTAAAAACAACTAACAGTTCCACTTTTTATTTATTTTTTACTGATTTGAGAGAGAAAGGGAGAGAGCAGAACACCCATCTGTTGCTCCACTTATTTATGCATTACATTGGTCGATTTCTGTATGTTCCCACAACCTTGGTGTTTCAGGACGATGCTCTAACCAACGGAGCTACCTGGCCAGGCCTCAATTCCACTTAGAATTTATTCTAAGGAAAAAAGTTAGGAAACTTTGGAAAGGATTTAGGTACAAAGGTAGTCATTCCAGGATTGTAGCAAGATACTAAAACAATCAAAAGTCCAACAGGAGGTGATTTTTTTTTTTTTTTTTTTAAAGAGTACAACCAGATACTTGAATATTTTGCTAGAAAAATGATGGTATGGCTGTTGCTTTGTTGACATAGGAAAATAAGTATGTTACTATATGAAAGGAACAGGCTATCAAACAGTATGTAACGTATGGTCCCATTTTATTTAAAAAGAGTTTATATGAATGTATTTGTCTAGGAAAATTCTAGAAGGTTATACACCAAAATAGTAGTAGTAATCATCTCTGGGTGATACATTTTTGAATAGTTTACATTTAATTATTTTCCCTTTATGTGATAAAGATAGGAACGAATCCACTGCCTTTTCAGGCTTACCTGTTAGGAAGGGACTTACGGGGTTGTGGTCTTAAAGGACCAAACATGTTTAAAACACAACTTTTTTTCCTGAAGTATTTTCAGAATAAGACAGCTGAATCTTTCTTGGAGGGCTAGATTGAGCCTGGACATTTGGTAATAGCACTAGTGTTGGGGCACTGAACTTGGAGGGGCCATATGGGCAAGGGGATTGCAGTTACAGATGGGATATGTATATATGTTTTGGATTTTATTTAGCATATACCAGCAACGTATGTGGTTAGCAGTTTCCTGGTGTACGTATTTTTTTACGTTTTCTTTCCTTATGTGAGAAAAAATTCACGAGTCTTTCAGACAAACTTTACTGGTTAGTATTTTAAGAAATACCTGCACTTTATGAAAGCGATTTAAGGATAAAACTGGATAAGCAGCCCTTTGACAGTAAGATTCATAGCTTAAGACCTGGGTCTTTGAGGAGGTCGTCTCTCTGGCTGCCTCAGATTTTCTCACCTCTGAGCATGGAAAGGCCTGCACTGCTTACTCTTTGGAGATATGTTTGCCTGAGATGGGCCTGGGGTCAGCCCACATGTGTGGTTCTGGTTTGAGTCATGCTCTACTTCTTGGAGCAGTATGGACATATTTGAAATTACTGTTATCACATAGGCCCCTTGGTTATATAATTCCAAGGAGTTGAAAAAGTAATTGACCTTTCATTCAGTTAAATCAGGATTTCTCAGTCTTGGCACGAATGACATTTAGGGCTGGATAATTGTTGTGGGGGCTGTTCTGTGCATTGTTTAGCAGCATGTCTTGCCTCTACCCACTAGATGTCAGTAGCACCTCCCCCGCTCAGTTAATCACAACCAAAAAATGTCGCAGACTTTGCCAATTATCCTGAGGGGAAAAATTACCCCTGATCTGGAACCACTGGGTTAAATCTTCAAATGAGTTTGAGCAAACAGGGCCTAAAGATTTGTCAGCCTTTTCTACAGTCTGGGAGCTCCTAGAGAATGTTTCTCTTAACCTCTATCCCATCTGTGACCTCTCTGAAATTGTTCCCAGCATGCTTCACCTTGTGGGGCTGCCATGGACAGGGTAGACCCAGGGAACCCTATTTGTTTGAGGTGTGGATTTATTTATTTTATTTTTTTAAATATGTCTTTATTGATTTCAGAGAGGAGAGAGAGAGAGAGAAACACATCAATGATGAGTCATTGATCGGCTACCCACAACCCAGCATATGCCCTGACTGGGAATCAGACCTTAATCTCCTGGATCATAGGTCGATACTCAATCACTGAGCCATGCGGGCAGGCTGAGTTTTATTTTTAAATTGAGATATAATTCATATACCAAAATTCACTCTTTTAAAGTACAATTCCCTTATTTTTAGTATATTCACAAAGTTATGCATCCATCACCACTATCTAATTCCAGAACATTCATCACCCCAAAAAAGAACCCGGTACCCACTAGCAAAATCATTTCCCATCCTGCCCTGCCCCTAGCAATCACTGATCTACTTTCTGTCTTCATGGTTTCATATGGCCATTGTGACTGGCTTCTTTCACTCAGTTATGTTTTCAAGGTCCTTTCACATTATAGCATAAATCAGTGCTTCGGTAATTTTATGGACTGAATAGTCTTTTTGGATATATCACATTTTGTTTATCCATTCATCAGTTGATAAACATTTGGATTGTTTCCACTTTTGGGCTATTATGAATAATGCTGCTATGAACATTCATATAGAAGTTTTTATGTGAAAATGTTTTCATTGCTGTTGAGCATGTAGTAAGAGTGGAATTACTGGGTCATATGGTAAACAGTTTAACTTTTTGAGGAACTGCCAATTTTTTTTTCCATAGTGGCTGTACCATTTTATATTCTCACCAGCAATGTATATGTTCATATCTCCCCACATCTTTGCCAACACTTGTTACTGTCCTTTTTTTTGATAACCATCCTAATGTGTATGAAGTATCTCATTGTGATTTTAACTTGAATTTTCCTAATGATGTTGAGCCTCGTTTCATATGCTTATTGGTCTTTTGCATGTCTTTGGAGAAATGTATTCAAAACTTTTGCACTTCTAAAAATTAGGAAACTTGTCTTTTTGTTGTTAAACTATAGTTCTTTATATATTTTGAATATTACACCCTTACCAGAAATGCGATATGCAGATATTTTCTCCCATTGGATGGATTGTCTTCATTTTCTTGATATTGTCCTTTGAAACACAAAAGTTTTAGATTTCGGTGAAGTTCATTTTATCTTTTTTTTTCTTCATTGGTATCGTATCTTGCCTAATGAAGGTTACAAAGATTTACAACTATGCTTTCTACGAATTTTTTAGTTTTACCTCTTATGTTTAGGTTTTTGATTCATTTTGAATTGTTTATGATGTGAGGTAGGGGTTCAACTTCATTCTTTTGCAGCGTGGATTTTAATGGCAAGAAAGAAAGCACTGCTTTCTCCCAGCCAACTCTGAGATGGGACATTTGGGAGCTGGTGCAGTCCTGAATTGCAGTGAGAGAGCACTGGTTCTATACCTGGGCTTTCTGTCTTCAGATAGCTGTGCCCCCATATCCTGGACCCTCAGTTACAGACCTCATCCCAGGACCCTAGTGCAGAGGTTTTCAAATTCAATGAAGTGCAATCCCCAGGGAGAATTCCAGTAACCCATTTTGGGGTAGGCTGTCTAACTGTGGACTTTGGAGGCAGGCAGAGCCAAGTTTATCCCATCTTAGCTGCTTCCAAGTCAGGCATCTAACCTCTCTGTGTCCCATTTCCTCTTTTGTGAGCTGGAGAGTAATGACCCCTGGCTCTTGAGGATTGTAGCAGATGGGACAGTGAAGGTAGAGGGTCTGAAAGAGCAATGGCCTCTGGCAGGACACACCAGGTGCCAGCCAGTACCGCTGTCCTGGTAAGGAAAGGCCCTCAGTTCTCTTCAAAGGTGGCATTTATATTATTTTCTCATTTTAAAGCCAGTTGGCTAGAACAAAGATGTTTTTTGAAATTTGAAACCAGGAGCTATGATGGAACTGTTACCATCTTCACATCAGCCTTAGCACTCCCATCCGTCGTTTGTTTTAGTTGCAAAGTACTGTGGCTGTAAAGGATAACAGATTTCTTTGCAACTTGCAGTCTTGGAGCTCTGTTCAGTTAAAGTTTAGGCTTGAATCCCTCCATGGGGAATTGTTACTTAAAATTGAATGGCACATTGTATAGCTGATTCCTGCTAGAATGCCCCATCACAGACATGAAATGAAAGTTAGACAGACACACACGAGCATGTGTGTGTGAACCACACAGTGATGTGTAACTGAGTCCCTCGTTAATGCTCCATTGAGCACTCTCCTCAAGCATGTCCCAAGCAGGGGCATTGGGCTGGCCTGGGGTTATGCATTGAGTGCAGGCATGTGTGTTATGGGGTGCAGTTGGTCATGGGATTCCGCATGCACAGACATGCTCAGTCAGGATGGTAGTTGTGGAGCCGCAGCCCAACTAGTTGATGGCGTGTTTATGTGCAGTTCACACTGCTGCCCGAGGCTGCACACCAGCACATGATCCTGGCAGGAACCTGATAAATTGGTCTGTAACACATTTAGGGGTGGGTGCTAAAGTTTTTAAGCATAGCTAACTATATATATATATATATATCTTGATTGATTTCAGAGAGAGGAAGGGAGAGGGAGAGGGGGAGAAACATCAATGATGAGAGAGTCATTGATTGGCTGCCTCCTGCACGCCCCCTACTGGGGATTGAGCCCACAACCCGGGCATGTGCCCTGACCAGGAATTGAACCACGATCTTCTGGATCATAGGCCAGTGCTCAACCGCTGAGTCACACTGGCGGGGCACTAATAATATTTTTAATTGAAATTTTTATTGAGATACAAAGAATGTCTTTTAAAGTATGTTTCAATTCAGACATTTGTGGTACCCTGAAGCAAATCAGGTCCCTTCATCACAGTCTGGGTAGGGCATGTGGGGAGTCACTTGTCCCTGAAGATGACCTCTTTGCAGTTTCTTCCTTGCCAGAGGGATGCCTGACTCTGCACACCTTTGCTGTGCACACAAGGCCACAGTATAACCAGAATACTCTCTGAGGAGGCAAGGTGTTTCTCTGAGGAGACCATTGCTCAGTATTTGAGGGCTTGAGACATTTCTTTGTTGCTTTCTGATTAAGAGTCTCTCAAGGTGAAGATCAGCCTGGGAAACTAAGTAGATAGTGTTGCACCAGCCTGCATTTCCTGTGTCTCAAAGCGTGGGAAGAGAAATTGTTACATAGTTTGCTTTTTAGATTGCTCAGAAGTGAAAGCCTGCCCTTTGCTTAGCAGTAGCCCTTAGCTCTCAGCTTTCTGTGTTTCTGGGAATTCCAGCCCTGTTTCCTTAGTGGAACTGGCACTGACACCAGCCACCGGAAGAAATGTAACTTTGAGGGTGGGGTTGTTAGGTACTGATGGTGGGCAGGGAGCCCTTTTCCCTCTGGGAGACCTCTTAGGAGCCCCAGGGTGAATAACACAGGGTTCAGGAGCTTGGAGTGGAGGGTCTCCAAGCTGCTCAGGACTCCTCTCTCAAGGCTCTCCGTGCGATTCTGACTGCAGGGGGAATGGAGAAGCACAGATTTGGAGACAGAGCTTGGTTCTCAAAACTGTTGGGAGGGAAATGGGCCTTTGGATTCAAGCTTTTCCTAATCTTCAGTTCCCACAGCAGCCAAGGAAAATGTAATTGAGTTTAAGTTGTTGCAGGAGACTGAAGTTGAACTCCAATGTGAACGGCCAGCCTCTCCCCTCTCTAGCGTACTCCTGCTCGGAGCCTGCTCTGGCCCTCTGATGGCCCTTTTACATTAGACCCTGCATCTTGCCACACTCTGCACCCCTTAATGCTGGGGCTGTTTGCTCATTTTTTTCCTTTTTGGCTTTTTTTTTCACTTGTTGGGGGGAGGGGTCTTGAAGTTATTGTCACACTGTATGTAAACTGAATTTCAAGCAGATTAAAGAAATAAACACAGGCCTGGCTGGGCGTGGCTCAGCGGTTGATCATCAACCTAGGGATCCAGGAGATGACAGTTGATTCCCATTTGGGGCACATGCCCGGGTTGCGGGCTCGACCCCCAGTCAGGGGCATGCAGGAGGCAACCGATCAATGACTCTCATCATTGATGTTTCTATCTCTTTCCCTCTTCCTTTCTTCTCTCTGAAATCATTAAAGATATGTTAAAAAGAAAGAAACACACATTTAAAAGATACCGTAAAGTACTAAAAGGAAACATTAGAAAAATATTTGTATAATCTTGGGATGGGGAAGAGGGCCCAGAAGTCACAAAGGAGAAGTCACAGATTAAACAACGTAAAACTGAAAAACCCTCTCTATGTCCGGAAAACCACCATGAATGAAGGCAAAAGGAATACACAGACAGGGAGAAGGTATTTGCAGCATATAAATGCCCACTGTGTATAAAAGATAAGAAAGAGACAAACCAAAGAGAAAACACAGGAAAAGGACACCTGTCTCCTGTAACCTGGTACTTTTTAAGACCCATAAACATGAAGTATACATCCTGGTGGTGGAGATGCTCCTGTGAGTTATAAAGGCAGCTGCACAGCCTGCATCTGAACCTGTTTATGAAAAGTCTGTTGGCTGCCATCTATCAATTTGTTAAAATTCTTGCCCGCAGGATGTGGGACTGAGGGCCTGGGGGCCCAGCCAACCCCATGATTACACCACTAAAGTGTTGAAGCAATTGGTTGTGTCCAGAGAGGCTTCAAAGCCGAGTGCTTGGGTGTGTGGCTCTGCTAGTTTCTAGCTACATAGAATTGGAGAGTTAGAGCATCTTGCCTCAGTTTGCTCATCTGAGAAACAGGTTTCAAAACAGCAGCTTCCTCGCATAGGGTGTTGGGCGGATTGAGTGAGCCACCACATAGCAAGTACTCAGGCCATTGCCCAGCATGAATTAATACCTCAGAACATGACTGAAAACTTGTCCTTGTCATACCTCTTCCATCACATCATTTTAAAAGGAAGTTCTTTCCTGCCTCTTTCTCATGGTCCTAGGGGCAAGTGGTCCTGTTGCAAGGCTTGAAGGGAACAGTGCTCACTCTTTCCTAAGACACCTTTGGAACATGAAAGAAAGTAGCAATGGTCACTGTCAGGGAGGGTGGGCTCTGGGAGCTCTTTTATCCCATAAGGGTCACGGGAGCCCCTTTTCTAGAAGAAGCAGGACCTCCTCTCTACCATGTTCTCCTAGGACCTCCCAGGGCCAGTGCTGGGAGCTGCTGACTTCCTGGCCAGTGCTTGGCATAGCCAAGCTTTGCCAGCCTCCTAGGCCTCGTAGGCTCAGCCAGTGCCTGTGTGAGCTTGAAGTTGCAGCATTAGTCTGTTTTCCGTTCTGCTTTTGAGGAGACATTTTAAACGTCCATATAATTGGAAATACTTAGTTTGCCTTTCTACTCATCTTGATTCATTGTAGGTTTATGCTCTATTTTGCTGGACTTTCTGGAGAGCTGGCACTGTAGCACCAGAGGAGGTGGATACGGAGGGAATATGCGAGTCCCGGTGACTAGGGGCAGGGACCTTCCTAACTGGGTTTTGTTTTTTCTGCAGGAGATAAATGGTGTCACTGCTGCGCTGGCTGAGGAGCTCTTTGAAAAAGGTATGTGGCCAGGGGTCCCCAAAATAATGGGTGCAGTGGGCTCAGCACTATTAGGCGGCTAGGGGCGCAGGGTGGCACAGAACTCCATCTGTTGGGCTGTGCCAAGTGAGTCCTAGCCAGGGCTCACCTCCCTGGGGTTGCCCAAGTCCCTGGATCTGGTCCATAGCCTGCCCACCTACGTGCCCTGCAGGCAGCCAAGTCTGAGGAGCCTTGGTCCTTCACCTTAGGCTCTCAGATTCTTGTCTCGGGGGTAACCTCAAGCTCGGGATCTAGTTTAAGGCTCTGTGGTGGAGTTCTAGAAGGTGGGTGGCATCGTGCCCTCTTGGATCTGGTGTGTCCTTACCTGGAAGTGTTCAGATGGCAAAGAGAAGCTGAGCTTGGGTCATGGCCCTGCCACAGAGCATAGTTACATAGCTAGCATAACGTGTTTCCTGTGGTCCAGCCTAGTGTCTAGCATTTTACTGCCCGCCCCCCTCCCACAGCGGTGCAGATGAGGACACTGAGGATGAGAGGCCCAGTGATCTGCTTGAGGGTACGTGGCTGGAAGGAGCAAGTGAGGACCAAATGCCAGTCTGTCTGTCTCAGACCCCCACCTGCTCTCAGGCCCTGCACTGTGCTGGCATCTTAGGCCTCACCTAACTGAAATGTCTGCATTTTGCAGGTTGCATCATGGGTCTATTGCCCACAGTGGCGCCCCATGTCAGCTTTATCCTGGCTCAGTGCCTCAGGTTTTAACTGAGCCTCACCTTAGGGTGGCTCCACAGTCACATGTTCCCATGGCCCTTCCCTGCTAGGTAATCATAACTTCTGGGTGTGCCCTGTGCCCATCATGAGTTCAGGAGGACAGCTGCTCCTGTGTGCCTAGGACAGTGACTTTGTCCTGACATGCAGAACACATAGCAGGTGTTTGCCAAATGCTTGTTAACTGTTAGCCAGGTGGGCAAACGCCCTGGCTGCCAGACTGGGACAGGGCTGGAGGTGGATGCTCACCCTTGGGGCACGGCTGTTGCAGGAGAACAGCTCCTGGGGGCCGGTGAGGTCTTTGCCATCAGGCCCCTGCAGCTCTATGCGGTTACTGAGCAGCTGCAGCAGGGAAAGCCTACGTGTGCCAGTGGGGACGCCAAGACTGACCTTGGGCACATCCTGGACTTCACCTGTCGCCTTAAGTACCTTAAGGTAAAGCTGCAGCAGCTCATTTGTGGGCTTGGTGGGTGCACAGCCAGCATGGGGCCTTATAGCTCCCTGACTGGCAGTGTGTGTGAAGGAGGCTGGGTGGGCCATCCCAGGAAGGAAGGCCACCTTCGGTGTTCTTGGCGCTGATCTTTTGGCTGTGAGCACCAGGGGGCAGTCATGACCCGATGTCCCTTGCTTTAAACCTCAGCTTTAGCCTGCTTTGTTGATGGGGTGCATGCCCACCCTGCCTCATAGCCAGGCAGAGCTTTGAGTCTGGGACAGTTGCTGCAGCACTGCCCCGTGAACATGGATAGGGAGCCTGTGTCAGCATCCCCGATTCAAACTGTATCTGTGGCTGCAGGTTTCTGGCACAGACGGAACTTTTGGGACCAGCAACATTCGGGAGCAGCTCCTGCCTTTTGATCTGTCAATATTCAAGTCTCTTCATCAGGTGGAGGTAAGGCCCAGGGCCCCTGGAGTGCAGGCAAGGCTGGGCCCTGCACAAGGATCATCTTGCTTATGACTCTGTATGGCTAGAAGTGTTTTTGATGTTGCATTTCTGGACTTAATTGTGAGGTACTGTTACTTTTGTGTTTGTCAGTATGTGGCAGATTTCATCTAGGTAAGTAAGGCCAGCCTGGAGGCAGAGAAAGAGAGGCCTCCACTGCTCTTGGCTGGTGTGCATGTCTCTGCCCCTGGCATGGGTGACATTTGAATAGGAGGGAGCACCAGTGCCTGCTGCTTTTGGGCCTCTTCGTCATTCTAGGCGACATGTGGAGAAGTCATCCTGAGGGTCAGGCAGAGCCAGTCCCAAGGCAGGTCAGCAGAGGGCTCTGAGAGTCCCCTGCCCTTTGGCTTGCCCACACGTAACAGGAAATATTTTGCATTACTCACTACTGGACTCTTGGGTTCCCAGTGCCAGTTTTGTTACCATTTTTAAAATGAAAGGGGGCCCTGTAACAAGTAATAAAAAATGTGTTAAAGCGTCTATTTCTCAGGCGTGGCCTTGTGTTCAGCCTTGTGCCCCACATCTGATGTATACTGCTCGATGGATTCTTCCTAAAAACCCAGAGAAGTGGGCACTTTTATTCCCCTTTTATAGTTGAGAAAACCGAGGCTTAGGGAGATAAGGAAGTTTGGCCAGGACTGTGCGCTTAATGAGAGAAAGCTGGGATCTGAATTCAGCCGAGCCTGACCCCAGAGCCTCTGCTACCCATTGGACTATTCTGCCTGCAGCATTCTGGGCTTATCTGAGACCTGGAGGACCTCTTCCCTTAGTGGGAACTTGTGGGCCTGCCTCGACCAGTGCAGGCCAAGTGAGGACTGAGAAGTCGGAGGAGTGCTTGGCTCAGCCCTGCCCTATTTCAGCAGGCTGAGGCTCCACTGCCAGGGTCTGTGGGTGTGTCACTCTAGCGAGTGGCTTGGGGGAGTGTGCTTTGGTTTTGTCTCCGCCTCCCCACCCCTCCCCACTGCAGGACATCCAAGGCTGGGGAAATCGGGCAGGGTGAACAGGAGGGTTCACCATGTTCATTGTGCTTAAGAGGCCCCTTGCTCTCAGCTCTGGTTTCCATGGCCCACACTTTCTGTCTACATGCTAAGCCCCAAGCACCCCCTACACAGAAAACAGAGTTCAAGGTTCATTGTGAGTCTTACTAGATTCTTCAGACCCTGTTTAGTTAGTACTAGAAACTGAGGAACAGAGAGACAGGGTTTGAATCACCTCCTGCCACTACCTAAGGCTTCTGACGGAGGAGTGATGCTGTTCCTGAGACATGGCTCTTCTTGTTCTAGATAAGCCACTGTGATGCCAAGCACATCCGGGGGCTGGTCGCTGCAAAGCCCACCTTAGCCACAATGAGTGTTCGCTTCTCAACAACCTCGATGAAGGTGAGCGCCCCGTTTCTTGCCTGGGCAGGATCCTGTGCTGTGGTCCCCCTACGGAGGGTGAGTGTGTGCACTGCTGATATCAGAAACCAGAAGCTGGACCTTCCCTGGGCCTGGGCTGCCACCCACTCATGCGAGCCCTCCCAGCGCTTAGCAGCCTTTGGGACACTTTCGTGCACATCTTCATCAAAAATCACACTGCTAAACAAGATATTTTAAGGAACTGGGTCCCCCACCCCCTGCCCTCGAAAAAAAAGTCCCTGGTGTTTTAATGAGCAAATTGTTGAGCAGTGGCAACTGCAGGACGTTTATTTGCTAGATTGATAAAAAGCCCTGATTTGGCACTCGTTTGTGTCTTATTCTTAGTGGACTTGAAGGGGACAGGTGAGGTTGTGGATATGTTAGGCCTATTGTTTGTATATGAGCAACAGAAATCCTCAAGAATGTAAGAGGTTTCCTTTTTATTTACCTTTTTATGGATTGCATCTTAGTAATGTTAAAATTCTTCTCTAGAAAAGCATAGTGACTACTTTATGACTTAGACTGATCGAGATTTGGATTTGGTGAAATTTGAGGCTTACTGGCTAAAAGAAGGAGGCTGGTATCAAGAGCAAGGGTGCTAGGCAACCTTGCCCCTCTCCAAAGCACTTCCTGCTGCCTGGCTCATGGGGCCCAAAGTGATCTATCAAGAGAGGAGAGGTCTTGTGAGCATGGAAAGTCAAAAGAAGGAGGCCTTCCTCCCTCCTTCGATGGTACCATGTGCTCTGTGCTGCTACCTCAGAATTGTTGGGCTTGAGCCTTGTGAAGTAACAGTTAAAACGGGCTGTTGTCCCACAGTGGGGACCACAGTGCCAGCTTGGAAAGCACAGTTGCTGGAAACACCATGAATTCTGACCTTTAGCCTCTGAGATTTAAGCCAGAAAAGGCATCACCATGTTTATGGCAAAAGGCCCTTGTGAGCTTGAAAAGCATTTGCTCCTGAAGCAGGACCAGAATATATTCCAAGTAGCTGTTATGTTGCTAAGTTTTTCAGTTATTTCACAATCGTTTAAAGACATATGAACCAAAGCCCAATTTTAATGCAAGTTCACTTCCACATGCTAAATATGCTCAAGCCCTTCCTGAAATTTTGCAATGATTGCATTCCCAGTGAGTGTTGCGTGAGGGCCCAAGTGTGCTCAACAGATGTTCTTACACAGGAAGTCCTCGTCCCCGAAGCCTCGGAATTTGATGAGTGGGAGCCAGAAGGCACAGCCCTGGAAGGCCCCGTGACTGCCATCATCCCCACATGGCAAGCACTGACCACTCTAGACCTGAGCCACAATAGCATCTCCAAGATCGACGAATCTGTGGTACGCTCTCAGCAGTGGGCTTTCTCTGGCCTGACCAAACCCTGAGGTTGAGTATTTAACTTGGCTTTTTCTGGAAGTACCATAGAAAACCTGGGCTCTGTGCATTGCCTGCAATTTTTTAAATTTCAAAATGGAATTATTTAAAGTAAGATAGCCTGGCCGGGCGTGGCTCAGTGGCTGATCGTCGAACTAGGATCCAGGAGATCGCGGTTCGATTCCCGGGCAGGGCACATGCCCGAGTTGTGGGCTCGATCAATGACTCTCATCATTGATGTTTCTTTCTCTCCCCCTCTCCCTTTCTCTCTCTGAAATCAATAAAGATATATTAAAATAAATAAATAAAGTGAGATAATACTTAGAACTAAACGAGGCACCTCTTGGTTCATGGGTCTATGCACTGCTGAGCCACACCGGACGGGCTGCATGTACATTTGATATAAAAACACAGTGAGTGAAGAGATTTACTTCCAAAGAGTGGAGTGGAAATATCACTCCACAGATTCCAGATGTGCTCCTGTAAGAGTGACATCCAGATGGCATTTGTGAAATAGGAGTGTGATTCCTGTATTTGTGCTTCTCAGTGAGTAGGGTTGGAGAAGAAGGATGGACAGACTTCCTTCTCTGGGATCTTGCCATTTGTCATTTTCATAAGCCAAGTGCTCCATAAAAATGGGGATGTGTGCTCATCACTGGAGTCCCTGTGTGTTCCTGTGGACATGCTGCTGGGTGGGCACTGGGAGGTATTACATCAGTGGCCCTGCAGGTATGGCTAGCCCAGTAGGCCCAGATCAGAAGAGAGTCCCAGGGTGGCCCTGGCAGGTGTGTCTCCGTTGGTTGAGCATCATTCCGTGTACCAAAAGTCCACCTATTTGATTCCTGGTCGGGGCACATGCTCCGGTTGCAGGTTCGGTCCCTGCTTGGAATGTGTATGGGAGGCAACCTGCCGATGTTTTTCTCACATCGATGTTTCTGTATCTCCCTTTCCCTTTTCCTTTCTCCCTACCTCTAGGAAAATAAAATAATAAATAAGGAAGTAAGTAAATAAATAAAAGAGTCCCAGGGTGCCTGTCCACCATGTGCAGGGGTGACGTAGGGTCCAGCCTCCTAGAGTAACGTTGGGTGTTGTCTTTTTTCCCCACAAGAAACTGATTCCAAAGCTTGAGTTCCTGGACCTGAGTCACAATGGAGTGCTAGTCGTGGACAACCTGCAGGTAATTAATGTATTTGGAGACTGTTGCCACCTATGAGCTTCTTACAAGGTCCCTGAGTGTTTAGAAGGCTGACTCTGGGGTTTGGCCAAACCCTGGGGTTTTCTCTCATAGGCACTCAAAAGGTGTCTGGGTGCCCCAGAGGTTTGTAGGAGCAGGGGCTGCTGCTATTCCTTAGGCTCCCAGCGATGCACTGAGTGATTGTTGCTGTAGTTCTCCAGAATTAGAAAAGGTGCATAAATACAAATCAAGCAAGGTGAGGCTGATATACCTCCATCATTAAGGTACAAACTTTATTTTCAAAGCTCGCACCTGTGGGCTGTGCTGCCTCTGTAGGGGGTGCCACTGGGCTGTGGCATGTGCAGGGGGAAAAAAGGCGTTCCCTTCCAAATAACAGCTGGAGGGAATGGAGCTGACCTGCAGAGCTGGTCATTTCAGGTAGGAAGGCTCATCACACCATTAGGGTGAGTTCCCTTCCTTTGGAGCCTTGACCTGAACCACTTTACCCTGTTCTCAATGCTGCCACAGCACCTGTACAACCTCGTGCACCTGGACTTGTCCTACAACAAGCTGTCTTCCTTGGAAGGGGTTCACACCAAACTGGGGAACATCAAAACTCTGAACCTGGCAGGCAACCTCCTGGAGAGTCTGAGTGGCCTGCACAAGCTCTACTCCTTGGTCAACCTGGATCTCAGCAACAACAGAATCGAACAGGTGAGCCAGGTCCCAAAAGGATCTCAGGGTTGTAGGGTGGCTGTGCCTTGTTTGTCACTTTACAGAAGAATGATAAGTAAGCCTTCTTTCACCTGAAAGGCTGTCATACGTGTTCTCATGTTGCCAAAGTGTTAAGAGAAGGGACAAGGGGAATGGAATTCGTGCCTTGCAGATGGAGGAGGTCAGGAGCATAGGCAGCCTCCCATGTCTGGAGCACGTGGCTCTGCTGAACAACCCTCTGAGCATCATCCCTGACTACCGGACCAAGGTGCTGGCTCAGTTTGGAGAGAGGGCCTCTGAGGTAGGCTGCCAGGTTGGGGATAGGGTGGGGGTTAGCTTAATAGAGACAATCTGGATTGAGTCCACATCTTCACAGCAGAGCCAGCGGTGACTTCCAGGGTTTTACCCTTGACTGGTTCAAAAGGACTTCTTCACCCTAAGCCTTTTAGTTCTGCGAAGTCTGCTATCTCCCCAAGAAAAAAACTCCCTCACCCTTCCTGCAACCCCTCCTGTCACCCACCGTCCAGTGGCTGCTATGGTTCCTCAGCAGACTTCCCTCACATTGCCTGTGCCAGAGTTGCAACCCAGGAGAGCTCCCCATGAACCCACAGCACAGACTGAGTGTGGAGGGCTGTCTTCAGCTTGTTAAAAATAACATTGATTATTGTAGGCAAGGGTCAGAAATACGGTATTTAATTAATTAATTTATTGATTGATTTTAGAGAGAAAGAGAGAAACATCAGTTTGTTGTTCCACTTATTTATACACTCACTGATTGTTTCTCATATGTGCCCTGACCAGTGATTGAACCCACAACCTTGGCATATTGGGACAGTGCTCTAACCAACAGAACTACCCACCCAGGGCCAAAAATAAGATATTTGTAAAAATCATGTTTCCTGGACGACTTCTGTCCATGAAGTCTGACTGCAGACCCCAAGGGTATGCTCGCCTTTGCCAGTGTAGCCCAGGCCAGTGTCTGCTGCCTGCTGAGTGGGTCTGGCCACCTGCCACCATGCCAGTGGAACAGGTCTTTAGCCAGGTTCACCTGTCTCATCAGCCAGGTTCACCTGTCTCGTCAGCCTCAATCAGGTCCCTCCCCAATCCTCCCAAATCTCGGGCCAGAAGATACCTGGAAGTCTGCATTCTGCTTTCATCCTTCCCCACCCCCCAATTTCTTTTCGGCCCCAAGTGCCCTTTCCTTCACACTGTCATCAAGACAGTGCTCACGAGATGACATCTCCTCCCCTCCTGGCTCCTCTCCTTGGGACCTTCCCTCATGTGACTATACTGCCTGCTGCACACTGCCTGCCAGCCCACAATCCCTCCTGCATTTGCAGGTAGGGGTACCTGCTTTCCATGCCTTTGCCCTCCAGTTCCCAGCCCAGAAGACCTTCCCTATGCTCTTTGCTGATCTCATTTTCGCCGGAGTTGGGGGCTTTGTTCAGGTTACCACCTTCCCCCAATCCTAGCCATCACTCCTCAGTGGTCCCTGTATCCTTGCCTCACCGTTTTGGCAAGGGACTCCCAGCAATAGACTGGGCAGTGTGGGACTTCCCTGGGCCACTCTAAGGACCTCGCAGGTCACTTAGTGGGTTGTGAGGAACTCATCTCCTAGTGGGTTGAGCTGCACAAGGCCTGGCCCACACATTGGCAGGGCTGCTATCATTCTGCTCTCACCATGCTTGCCAACATGGCTAATAGCCATTTCTGAATTCTGTAGGTCTGTCTGGACAACACAGTGACCACAGAGAAGGAGCTGGACACTGTGGAAGTGCTAAAAGCAATTCAGAAAGCCAAGGAGGTCAAGTCCAAACTGAGCAACACTGAGAAGAAGGTGGGTCTTTGTGTGGGAGGTGGGAAGAGTGGTGGTGGTGGTCAGCCAGCTGAGGAAGGAGCTGGCTCCAGTGGAACTGGGCTGTGGGCACACTCAGAGCCACTGGAGTCCTGGCTACCTGGCCTTGGGCAAGTCACACCCATCTATTCTCTGTAAGGTGGGGTGGTGATAGTACCTGCCTTACAGGGTTGTAAGGACTAGGCGAGACCAACTTCACCAGCCCTGATGTTTGTGAGAACCTCTGAGTCTCTCCTCATCCTTCCTTTTTGAGTTACGTTCTTCCCGATCCTTCTCTCCTCTCCTGGGCTGACTCGAGCACTCCTCCTAGGTTGGTGAGGATTGCCGGCTCTCAGCTGCCCCCTGCGTCAGACCCAGCAGCTCCCCTCCCACTGTGGCTCCCACCTCCGCCTCCCTGCCCCAGCCCATCCTCTCCAACCAAGGTAATCATGTGTGTAGCTTTCTGCCTAGCAGAGCCACCCGGGCCCTTCTGGGCCCCTTGGCCTGGCTGGGGTTGGGGAAGATGCTGGCACCTGCTCCCTGCAGGGTTCAGACACAGGGAGGGTGTGGTGCTGTCTGCAAGTCAGCTCCTCAGGGTGGCACATGGTGGCGGTGCCTGGCCTGATTTCAGCTCTGTTATTTGCTTAGTGAGGACCACCCCCCACATTGTTCTGACACCTACATTTAGTTCCTCTAGGGTACCCCAGGGTATCTAATGGGTCCCTGAGGCTGCTCTTTGAACAGGCTCAGGGCTGCTTGCTTGTAAGGACCCCACTCCCCTGCAGGCAGTGTGGGCGGATTTGCTCCTTATTACCGGGAAGCTGTGCCTTGTTACTTTCCTGAGTTGGCTGCCCTGATCCCTGCATGGGGAGCTTTCTTTTTATCGTCACCTCATCTCTGTGGCTCAGGCCCAAACACTGTTTGTGGGGCCCAGACAGGCTGTCCAGGACCCATGGAAGACCAATCCTTTTCACCTGCCCACTGTCTTAGCGTTTTCAAAGGGCTTTCACCTCTGAACCCAGGCAACCTCGGAGATGAGTGAGTGAAGCAGGTCCTATGAGAGTGTCTGCTGGCCCGGCCCCCACGGAAGAGGGGAGGGTGTGCCATCCCGAGTGGAACACACAGGAAGGAACGCCGCCCGCCCACCAGGGCTCCTGGAGACGCAGAACTTGGTGTGAGGTCTTGGGAAAACAGTTTGACCCTATGTTTCAAGAGCCAGAAAAACGTTCCCACTCCTTGACCTGGTAACCCCACTGGTGGGGATTTTATCTTGGTGGGATAAGATAATGGGAAGGGGAGATGAATTGCTCACTGCAGCGTTATTTATGCTAGCAAAGCAGGGGATGTGACAAACGTCAGAGGATGAGAGGGAGGTTAAGCTGTGGTGCAAAATGCTCTGCAGCCGTCACATCAGAGAGGAAGACTGGGTAGAAAGGAGGGAGAAGTGCTGAGGTTAAGTCAGCCTGCTGCAGGGCGGTGCACCAAGGTCGCAGGCAAGAGACTCGGAGAGTATTTGTGAGAATGGACGGTGATGTAGGGTGCCAGAGTGATTGTCAGTTTGCTTTTGTAATACTTGACTGAGAGTCTTTTATTTTTTTTACATAAAAGGGGCAGGAGATTTGTATCCCACTGAAGACTTCCCCGACCCCATCTCCTGCCTCGGGGCCAAAGCCCTCTTCGGGCCTCACAGCACTGCGGAGGAACTGCCGGACTAGGGTTCTGGGGACAGGGAGATGCAATTGGTCCTCTAGGCCAGGGACTAGCTAGTTCTCAGTCAGCGTTTGTGGAATTGATTGAGTGTGTGAGTGAGTGAGCAAGCTGAGAACAAGCTGGTAAAGAGCAGATCACAGGCAGAGTGAGTGCGGCATCTATCCCAGGGCCACAGCTGCAGGCAGCCCCCCCTTTGGTAGTGAAGCCTCTGCACCAGCCAGACCAGGCCTCACTGCCCCCTGGGGACACCACCGAGTGGCTCACTGTAGCCTGTTTCCCTTTCCTAGCTGCTGGACATTTAGATGTCTTCAGATTTGCACCTCATAAATAAAACTGCAGTGGATGTCTGTGTGTGCACATCTCTTTCCTTTCTGTGAAACAAAGGTCGGGCCCCCATCTAAGCACGCATGTCCCCTGTCCCGTCCTCTGAGTGACCCTTTCTGACCACTTGTTTGTACTAACTGTGGTCCAGGAAGGAAGCAGAGACTATCCCAATTGTCACTTCCTTGGCTCCAAACGGGGCTTGGGAGGGTGGGTAGTCGCAAGAAAATGTTGCTTTCTTTTTCACTAATATGGAGGAATCCACAGATATTTGTGTTCAGCCATGTGCTGCTGGGTCTTGCCTGGATGGGCATGGATTTCTCCCATGTGGGAACAGCTTTGCTCCCAGCCTGATCCCCTAGAAGTGCACATATATGTTAATAAACTGGGCACTCGGGGGCCTATGTGAAGGTGCTGCCCAGTGAACACCAGGCCTCTGGTCATCTCAGGAACTGTTAGCCAGCTTGGTGGAACCACAGAGGACTGTGACCGATAGGGGTTGATGTGCAGAATGCCAGGGTGGATTCTTCAGGCAGGGTGTGAAGTTGAGAGGAGGCCTTAGAGAAGTGGTTTAGGAGCAGGCTCCCGGGGTCAGTCAGCTGAGTTGGTGTCCCAACTTCCTTGGCCGTGTTCCCTCAAGCAACTTGTAGCCTCTCCGAAGCTGTTTTCTCAACTGTGAAGTGTGTGCACCCGACTTCATCAGTTCTAAGATCACACAACTGCTCTGAAATTGAGATGCGTCTTTCAGTCAGTGGTGTCTCGTAGTTGCTGTCAGCCAGCTGGTACTCGTGATGGAGTCGTGTGAAAACCTTCCGTGGACACCTGCTAAGACCAAGATGGCACCACATCTACGCATCTTAGATGTGATGAACTGTAAACAAAAGGCGTGTGTGAACTAGCACGGGGGAAGTACCGTGCACTGCTCCTGGCTCATCTGAAGTGGTCAATAAGGGCTTCCCTCTCCTGTATTTTTGGGGGTTTCAAGATGACCAGGACAGTGTCCTGAGGAGGCTGCCTGCCCAGGGGAGGACAGGACAGAATGATTTGGGGGCATTTTGTAGAGGGAGAGGTATGTCTAGAGCAGAGGACTTTGCAGTGGAAGTGGTGTGTGAGGGGGTCCTCAGAGGATGGGTAGGACCTGAGCATGGGGAGACGGGAGGGTTCTAGGAGAGAACAGCACTAATACATAGCTGTGTGCTTGCCACCCTTCTGCCTGTGCAGGGTCCCTGCTGCTTCGCTGGGAGGGAGGGGGTCTGGGCTTGGGCAAAGGGCTTGGGTCTACCCCGTGGCAGAGGACCTGGGTTACGTGAGTATTCTTGTCCCTAGGCAGCAGCTGAGCTGGACTAGGGTCTGTGACCTTTGGGGCTCTAACCCATAGTAACTGGTGTTAAAGCCAGGCCAAGCCCTGGGATCCTCCAGACTTTTGTGAAACAAGGGGTTGGTGTCCAGTGTTCATCCAACTAGCTGCACTTAGGAAACCGTTTAAAAAGGCTTTACCCTCCGCCAGCCTAGGAAATGTCTGGAGTGAAATAACAGGCCCAGACATGCTGTATTCATAAAACAGCTTCAGCAGGGTTTTAAAAACACTCTGTGTTTCCTTGGTGCATAAGTCAGTGGGAGGCTGACTAGGGGAGGGTCAGTGGGGTGGTCCTGTGGGAAGCAGGCCATAGGTAGCAGGTATGGGTTATCCTCAAGGTCCTGCACCTTTATGTGTCTATGAGGCTCTGCAGAGATGTCAGATCGGGGTGGGACTGTGTTCAGTCATTTTGCTGGGAAGGATCTAGGAGTGAACATGTTTAAGGCTCTTGATGGACATGTTGCCAAACTGCTCTCCTGACAGGCGGGCCAGCTCCCACCCCAGTGCTCACCTCTACCCAGTTAGGCCAGGTCCGGGCCACACAGTCTGACTAAACTGCCAAAGTGAGAGACAGAACTGGTGTCTTATTCCAACTTGCCCTTCTGTGATTATTTGTGAAGGAGGGTGAGCATTGTTTCATGTGATATCTATTGACCATTCTTTTGTGGAATGTGTCTGCATTCTTTGCAGTCTGTCTCCTAATGGGATTTCCAACTTTACCCCCCTTTTTATCATGTGTAACAGCCTTTTGTAGATTAAAGATATAAATGTTTGTCAAATACTGCACATACTTTCTTCTCCTTTCTTTTTTTACTTATAGAAGTTTAGTCTTTATGTTGTCACACTTCAAATTCTTCCTTTCAATTTAGGATCAGAAAGCCTCTCTCTACCCTAAATTAGAAATCTTCAAGTTATTTTAAGGTTTCAGGTGTGGCTGGGTTTGGGGGTCTGACTAGCCCCTGGCCATGCCAGAATCCCGAGGGCCCAGCCGGTTTGTTGAATAGCTGCTCTCCCTGCCCCACTGTCCCACCCGCTTGCCCCTGGTCTCTCCAGGAATCATGTTTGTGCAAGAGGAAGCCCTGGCCAGCAGCCTCTCGTCCACTGACAGTCTTACTCCCGAGGACCGACCCATTGCTCAGGGATGCTCTGATTCCTTGGAGTCCGTCCCTGCGGGACAGGTAATACCTGCCTCCTGCTTCTGGGGATTGGTTACCTCTGTGCCAGCTCTTTGTCTGAGGCTGTCTGGAGGTAGGAGGTGGCCTGGTTAGTGTTGTGGCAGATACTGCCAGTGCTTGGTGGATTCTGCTTTGTGGTTAAGGGCCTATGTTCAGCCTCCCTCCCTCCTCCTCCATCTATCCCCCTCTACACCTCTATACTTCCTCCCCCCCTTCCCCTCTCCCTTCACCAATGGGAACAAGCAGTTCTCTCTCACTGGGCCCTGGGAGTCAAAGTCAGATAACCTTTAGTTCATATGAGTAGATTCCCTTGGGGAAAGCAATTCAGAAGGTCCTGGGGGGGAGAGTTGTTTGGATTCCAAACCCATCAGGAAGAGTTTCTCCCCTGCTGCCTGGCACCCCACAGTCATTCTGCCCAGCCCTGCATGTCACCCTGGTAGTTTGGGACACAGTATGATTGTGACACCTTCTCTGTGGCTGCTGTTAAGGGTTCTGGAGCATCTTCATGTGTCCTGGGAAGAGAGGAGGAAGGCAAGTGTGGTGTGAGTGGCTCATTTGCCGTGTGTGTGGGGAGTGTGCTTGCTACCTAGGCCTCCCTCCAGCCCCGTCTCTATTCAGCAACACAGAGTCATGGCCGAGTGACCCCTGCGGTAGTTTTCAGAGCCCTCTCCCTTTCCCAGCACTGCATGGCACACTCTCCCTTCACCCTCCCCAGGGTCAGACAATGGGAAGGAGGTTCCCTAGCACTGCGTCTTCCCTGTTGCCCAGAGACCACTAGGAGGGCTTTGCCAGGCACTGTGCAGCCTCTGTTCATTGTGTCTTCAGCTGACCAGTTACCAAGTTGGTGTACCCTTGGAGTGGCACAGGGGGCACTCGGATGCCAGACCCAGAGGCACAGAGTGGCAAGAGTCTCTGGCTCAGGAGTTGGGAGCAGATGGACCCGGTTGGGAATCAGCCCTGCTGTGCACTGGTGGAATAACTGAGAGTCTCTCTGCCCCCAGGCCCCATAATCCACCCCAGAATAGAGCGTGGGATGGTGGGAACTTCCTGCAGGGAGGGAGGGAAGAAGGGCAGAGTGCCTGGCTCAGGGCCTAGCACCAGTAAATGCCAGGGAATGGCTGTAGCAGGGTGGGGCTGACCACATTTCCTTCTCTATCAGGCACCTTCCGATGATTTAAGGGACATACCTGGAGCTGTTGGTGGTGCAAGGTAAGGAAGAGGTTAAGAAGGCCTCCGGGGCTTTCTGTATACACTCAGCTGTGGGTTAGTGATAACTAGTTGGATTTTGTTAAGTATCTGTTTCACGGGAGTCCTCCAGAACTACCTCTTTCTTTAAATTAAACACAGATGAGAAAGACTCTGGTCTGTTTCTAGATTTGAATCCCTGGACTTTGCCTGATATATGTCATCCTACACAAGGGGTCAGCAGATCAAGGCTCGTTTGGTCCACAGTTTGTGAGCTAAGAATGATTGTTCCATTCTTAAAGAGCTGTTAAAAAAAATAAAGAGTATGTGATTGAGTGGCCCCAACAGCCCGAAGTATTCACTGTGACCCTTTGCAGAGGAGGTTTCCCTGCCCTGATATACACACACTTTTTCGTGACGGCAGTAGTGGCCAAGAGGAGCTTGAATTTAAATGTGAAGGTTCTAGGAATGCCCCTTTCACAGAGTGCCGCTGAAGGGAACTGTTGTCCACAAGTGAGTCCTTGCCTGGAGCACTCATTGCGTTTGGGGCTCACAGCCAACGTCTGAATGACTGAAGTCTTTGTGACGCTTCCATTGGGGGAACCTGTGTGATGTGGGTAGGACTGGCCTGGACACCTGTCATCTGAGCCCTGGGCATGTGGACTCTGAAGAGACGGGTGGCCGCAGCCTCCTGGCACCTTGGCTCCCCACCAGGGCACTTGTCCTAGGAATAGGCTTGGCTATATAGCAGTCTTGGGATACCCATGAGTTGGTTTCTTGGGACCAGGGTGTAGCAGCAGGCCCAGACTTGAGAGGTAGGGTGTCCTATCCCAGCATGTCACTGATCTGGCTTCTCATACAGCCCAGAGCACTCGGAGCCGGAGGTCCAGGTGGTGCCTGGGTCTGGCCAAATCATCTTCCTGCCCTTCACATGCATTGGTTACACAGCCACCAACCAGGACTTCATCCAGCGCCTCAGCACGCTCATCCGGCAGGCCATCGAGAGGCAGCTGCCCGCCTGGATCGAGGCAGCCAGCCCGCGGGAGGAGGGCCAAGACGAGCAGGGCCAGGGCGAGGAGGAGGAGGTCGCTGAGAACCGCTATTTTGAAATGGGGCCTCCAGACACGGAGGAAGAGGAAGGAGGCCGGGGAGAGGAGGAGGAGGAGGAGGGTGAGGAGGAGCGCTTGGCCCTGGAGTGGGCCCTGGGTGCAGACGAGGACTTCCTGCTGGAGCACATCCGCATCCTCAAGGTGCTGTGGTGCTTCCTGATCCATGTACAGGGCAGCATTCGCCAGTTTGCCGCCTGCCTTGTGCTCACCGACTTCGGCATTGCCGTCTTCGAGATCCCGCACCAGGAGTCGCGGGGCAGCAGCCAGCACATCCTCTCTTCCCTGCGCTTTGTCTTCTGCTTCCCGCACGGCGACCTCACTGAGTTCGGCTTTCTCATGCCAGAGCTGTGCCTGGTGCTCAAGGTGCGGCACAGTGAGAACACGCTCTTCATCATCTCAGATGCTTCCAACCTGCATGAGTTCCACGCTGACCTGCGCTCATGCTTTGCCCCGCAGCACATGGCCATGCTGTGCAGCCCCGTGCTCTACGGCAGCCACACCAGCCTGCAGGAGTTCCTCCGCCAGCTGCTCACCTTCTACAAAGTGGCGGGCGGCTGCCAGGAGTGCAGCCAAGGCTGCTTCCCTGTCTACCTGGTCTACAGCGACAAGCGCATGGTGCAGACGGCTGCTGGGGACTACTCGGGCAACATCGAGTGGGCCAGCTGCACGCTCTGCTCAGCTGTGCGGCGCTCCTGCTGCGCACCCTCCGAGGCCGTCAAGTCTGCCGCCATCCCATACTGGCTGCTGCTTACGCCCCAGCACCTCAATGTCATCAAGGCTGACTTCAACCCCATGCCCAACCGCGGGACCCACAACTGTCGCAACCGCAACAGCTTCAAGCTCAGCCGTGTGCCACTCTCCACTGTGCTGCTGGACCCCACACGCAGCTGCACCCAGCCCCGGGGTGCCTTTGCCGACGGCCATGTGCTGGAGCTGCTCGTAGGCTACCGCTTTGTCACCGCCATCTTTGTGCTGCCCCATGAGAAGTTCCACTTCCTGCGCATTTACAACCAGCTGCGGGCCTCACTGCAGGACCTAAAGACCGTGGTCATCGCTAAGACCCCTGTGACTGGGGGCCAGTCCCAACGCCCCCTTATGAATAGCCAGCCTGCTAAGGACAGGGTCAGGTGAGTCTGAGCACAGGCTTTCGGGGCCAGGGGCATGGGGTTGGTCTCTGCCCGTGAAGTGTGCCTGAGACCACTCACCCCAAACCACATCTCTGAGCTGCAGTGTGTGAGTGGGTCCAGGGTGGGCCCAACTCCTCAGCTGTGTCCTTGACTCCCTCGAGCTTGGCATTGAGCTGCTCTTTCTCTCTCAGGGCTTTAGAAGAGGCATAAGAAAGCTCTGCTTCCACAAGGACAGGCTGGCCCAGTCCCTTGCCAGTGCAGGCTTGGCTGAGGAGATCGCCGCCACCTTGTCTGGCCTGCTCTGCCCCTCTGGGCCCAGGCACAGCCTCTGAGAATCACCCACCACCCCTCCCCACAGGGTTTCACAGTCCTGTAGCTGTCTCCATGGCCTGGGGGACTGTTTTAGGCATCACCTACTCTGATACTCAGCTCTAAGCCTTGCCCTGTTGAGAGCCACACAGCCCTTCTCAGGAGGATCTGGGTTGCTGCATGTAATTTGGGGAGTCCCTTCCAAAGGAACTTGTTGGCTTAGTGCGTAAGGCCTGAGTGTGTGAGCTGGGTGGTCACCTTCTGGGGGAGACTGAGGCACAGAAAGGAGTGATAGCTGGGAGCCCTGACATATTGATTCTCACTCTCTTCTCTACCCTGCTTCTGCCCCCTGAGCCTGGCTTTCCCTGGGCTCCCTCCTTGGGTTTCCCTGACCACTGTCTGGGGCTGGGGTAGAGAGAGCCTATGGGGGGTATGGTCATATCCACAGCTCACCTCCACCTGGGGCTCAAGCGGCCTATTCCTTTGAGGGTAGACCCTGTCTCCTTTCACTGCCCCCTGGCTTCACATATACTGGGGCTTTCCCATCATGGGCAAGAAAGCCCATTTGTCACCCGCCTGTCCCCTGAGACACAGTCCAGCTCACTTTTTCTTCTATCCTGGGGGACAGTGGAGATTATGTTCTCACCCCAGCATCTCACAGGGCCTGCCTTCTCCTTCCAGCCTATCCCCCTAACTGATGCTTCCTACCGCTTCTTGGCTGAATCAGGTGCCCCTCTTACACCCAGCTCAGATCCGTCCCTCTGTAGAGACCCCTGATGCCTAGGTGCTAGAGAACAGCTTATACCCAAGGTGGCCATGCACAGCTATACCCCCATCTGTCTGCCCCTGTGCTAAGGCTTTGGTGACATTTCCCTGCCACCCCAAACCCTGCTGGAACCTGCCCACACTGGGGATTCCATGCAGAAACCAGGCGCCTGCTTCATCCCCACAGACACATCTCTGCCCGATGACAACAGGAGGACAGTCCAGAGGCTTCTTAGGGGCACGTGGCCCAGTGCAAGGCCAGAGCCCCAGGGATCTGACTTGCCAGCTGGACTGTCTAGTTGAGAAGACATGTCCCAAGGACTTCCCTCAGCACGGGCATGGGCATGTGGGCACATATTGTGGTTGCAGGGGCCACCCCTACCTCCATGAACTTTAAGGGTTCTGAGCAGTGTTTGATCTAGCACTTGAAACAGACCAGTGAAAAGAGGGGAGCCTGAGCCACCAGAGGACGACTTAAAGGCAGACTGAAGGGTAATTTGAGTTTTTGATTTTCAGACCTGAGTGCACCCAGGTCCCAGCCCTGGGCACCTGGGTCATGCTCTGAACTCCGGAGTGGTGTTTTGGACACCTCTCCCACCTTCTCAAAATAAGTTTTCAATTCATGGGCCACAGATGTCCGACTGTCCCAGCCCTGGGGTGCCAGATAGCCTGTATTGCCCCCATCTGCTCATCTCCCTCCCAAGAGAAAAGGCCTGGGTACCTTTTCTCTGCTGTTTTGTCTTCCCATAGAGAACCTGGTGCTGAAATCCCCAGGGGGACCCCAGAGGTGGAGTGTGTGTGGTGCACACATTCCCCTCATACTCTAAGGTTGTGCGTGTGGTATGAGTCTCCATATGGGTCTACATTTTAATGTAGTGTTTCTTGGGGGTTTGGGAGATGCAGCAGTGACCAGCGTCCCCAGGAGGCCCGGGCAGAGGCTACAGCTCCAGCCCCAGAGGAGGTGCGAGTCCTAGCCCCAGTGGAGGTCTCAGCTCTGGCCCAGGCAGAGTCCTCAGCCCCAGAGGGGACCCCAGCTCCAGCCCCAGCAGAGGCCCCAGTGCCAGCTTTGCTTCCAGCGGAAGCCGCAACAGAGGACTCAGCTGCAGAAGAGACCTCAGCAGAGACCCCAGCTCCAGCCTCAGTGGAGGCCTCATCTCCAGCGGAGGCCCTGGCACAAGCTGACGCCCCAGCCCAGTACCCAAGCGAGCACCTTATCCAGTCCACGTCAGAGGAGAATCAGATCCCTTCACACCTGCCCGCCTGTGCATCGCTCCGGCACATCGCCAGCCTGCGGGGAAGTGCCATCGTCGAGTTCTTCCACAGCAGCATTGCTGAGGTAGTTGCCTGGGTTCTGGTCTTGCTGGCTGGCACTGGTGTGGAGAGGTAGCATAGTTAGTTCTGGAGACTGGCAGAGCTTGTGTTGGCATCAGCCTCAGATTCTCTGACTTCTCTGGGTTGGGAGGGCCTGGACTGCCCTTTCCTGGTCACTTGTCCTATCACCACCGCCCCCTGCAGCCACTCCTATCCTCGGGGCCCGGCAGAGCCCACTGCACACCCATCTCCCATCCTTCGTTTCCTCTCTGCTCCCAAGTTTATTAATCCATTGACAAGATGTGATGATGGTCCTGAGTCTCCCCATCCAAGGCTGTGGGCATAGCACCAGGGTGACTGGTCTAACAAGGTGCCCTGCCCAGAGGTCTGTTTCAGGCACAGCCTGGAAGAGAAGCAGCATGCTCTGCCCTGCCCTGCTTCCTTGCAGGCTCAAACCCAGCCCCTTTGTGTCCAGGTGGACAACGAGGAGCTGAGGCACCTCATGTGGTCCTCAGTGGTGTTCTACCAGACCCCGGGGCTGGAGGTGACTGCCTGCATGCTGCTCTCCACCAAGGCCGTGTACTTCGTGCTGCATGATGGCCTCCGCCGCTACTTCTCGGAGCCACTGCAGGGTAGGCACCAGGGCCTGCTGCCGCCCCAGGGGGCTTGGAGCCCATGCCTGAGGAGATGGGTTCCATCTTAGAGCCAATTGTGTGGCCTCAGGCAGCAGTGACTTGGCTGCACTGGACCGAGAATCTCTTGGGGGGTTGTGGGGATGAAATAGCACTCCCCCATCCCCACTCCCAATCCCCAACTCTGTCATGAGGAACCTAAGGCTAGGCATGAAAGCGTCAGGCCAGGGCCTGGCAAACACCTGGGCACTAGCCATAATGAGGGATGGAGCAGCCTCTGCCCCTCAGGGCCTCAGTGGGAGGCTTTGGGTGACTCCACTGAGTCAGGCACAGCTCATACTCTAGAACACATTGCCTATGAGGCCTTGTGTGCATGGAAGGTGGTGGTGGCTCCTCAGTTGTCTAGGCCAGCCAAGGGCATACATTGCTGCTAGACTCAGCTGTGCACCTAGGCCCCTCCCAGCCACTACCACCCTTTCCTCCATCACAGATTTCTGGCATCAGAAAAACACCGACTACAACAACAGCCCCTTCCATATCTCCCAGTGCTTTGTTTTAAAGCTCAGTGACCTACAGTCAGTCAACGTTGGGCTTTTTGACCAGTATTTCCGGCTGACAGGTGAGTGACCACTGCTTTGTCTTCTGTTAGGTGAAGGCCAGTATTCCCAGTGGGCTTCCACCTTCCATTTGTGGGTGTGTATCGATGGCAGGGTTACCTCTCTGCTCATAAGCCATTTCACTGGAGCAGGAGGAAGCAGCTTCAGGAACTGCTGAGAGTGCAGGACTCAGCTGCCAGGGCTCAGAGCGGGAGGGGACAGAAGCAGGGAAGCGCCAGGCAGTGCTGGGAGGCAGGCAGAGAGGGCCCTGTGCTCAGGGCAGGATGTTTCTGACTCACACTTCCTGAAGAGAGAAAACTAAGCTCTTTCCCTAATGCCTCTGTATCCCCTTCCAGAAAAATGTCACAGCCTTTCCGGCCTGAGAAGTGGCCTTTAGGCCCTGTGATGCTCTTCCATGTGGGCCCTCTTGGCTCTGACTCTGTGGTCTTCAGGTCCAGGCTGACTTGCTAGAGACTAGAGCTGGCTCCAGGGGCAGGGACAGGGCAGGGGAACAGCTGCCTGCAACCATGACAAGCCCCTTCTCCCACAGGCTCCTCCCCTATGCAGGTGGTGACGTGCTTGACTCGAGACAGCTACCTGACACACTGCTTCCTTCAGCACCTCATGGCCGTACTCTCCTCCCTGGAACGCACACCCTCGCCTGAGCCTGTCGACAAGGACTTCTACTCTGAGTTTGGGAACAAGACCACAGGTAACCTTGCTCAGCTTAGGCTCTAGACAGGCCATGTGGTCTCTCCAACCCCAAGGGGCAGCATGCCTGGAGCCCTCTGCCTCTGTCTTTTTTACTTTTTGTCTCTTGTCCTGCTCAGCCAGCTAGGGTTTTACGTGGCCTTTTCCAGGGCAGAGCCTCCATCCCAGCAAACCCTTAACCATCTGGTAGACACACCTCAAGTGTGTGCTCTGCTCTGGGCTGCTGGCCTGTGGTCTCCACCTGGACATCAGGACTTGGAGTGCTCTCACCTGCCTCTGACAGATAGCAGCCCATGCCGCCGTCTCTGGGTGGCATGTGGCTGCTGGCATTCCCAGCCCCACTACAGACCAGTTCCAGGCTTCAGCCCTGGTGGGCATCTCTCTCTACAGGGAAGATGGAGAACTATGAGCTGATCCACTCGAGCCGTGTCAAGTTCACCTACCCCAGTGAGGAGGAGATCGGGGACTTGACATTCATCGTGGCCCAGAAGATAGCTGACCCAGAGAAGGCACCGGCCCTCAGCATCCTGCTGTATGTACAGGCCTTCCAGGTGGGCACGCCGCCACCTGGGCGCTGCAGGGGCGTGTTGCGCCCCAAAACGCTCCTGCTCACCAGCGCTGAGATCTTCCTCCTGGATGAGGACTTCGTCCACTACCCACTGCCCGAGTTTGCCAAAGAGCCTCCGCAGAGGGACCGGTACCGGCTAGATGATGGCCGCCGTGTCCGGGACCTGGACCGCGTGCTCATGGGCTACCAGACCTACCCACAGGCTCTCACCCTCGTCTTTGACGATGTGCAGGGCCATGACCTTATGGGCAATGTCACCCTGGACCACTTTGGGGAGGTGCCAGGTGGCCTAGCCAGAGCCGGACAGGGCCGCGAGGTCCAGTGGCAGGTGTTTGTCCCTAGCGCCGAGAGCCGCGAGAAGCTCATCTCACTCTTGGCCCGCCAGTGGGAGGCCCTGTGCGGCCGGGAACTGCCTGTTGAGCTCACTGGCTAGCCTAGGCTGCTGCTGGCTCTTGCTGCCCTGTGTGTCCAGCCTGGGGTCCACTCAGTGTGGGGAAGCAGGCTTTCTCTTTCCTTTTGAAAATGATTTTTCCTCCCTTTTGGTACCTTCATTTGACTGTCCTCCCACAGAATGTGAACCTACGTGTTCAGTTGATTCTAACCCTGTGAGTGGAAGTGCCGGCCCCTCCGGGGCTCCTGTGCCATCAGCCTCCCATGCATCTGTTGCTGTCCTCCCCAGTGTTGCAGTGTCATAGCTTCTGTCATAGGACTGTTGTGAACACATGGCGTCATGGGTCCTATTTACTCTTTTACGTGTCTTTTCCTGAAATGTCAAGTCCAGTCTTGTTGCTATTGCTGTTGTGGGCATTTGCTGCTAATCATGAAGCTGGCAGCAAGATGCATATTGGAAGTTCCCACCCTGTGCAGTTTTCCAAAGTGGGGGCTTCTCCTTGTTTAGACAAGTGGGAGAGCCCTGTGGGGGCAGGAGTCCCCTAGGCCTTGGGGCTGAGAGGGATGGGTGCAGGGACCAAGAACTGCCAGCACCAAGTGTGTCTCCTGTTGCCTATTTTCTCTATTCCAATAAAGTAGAGTTTGACACAGTCTGGGTCTTTTATTTCAGGGTCCAGCAGGGCATTGGCCCAGGACTTGGCCTGAGGGAGAGAGGGTCCCCTAGAGACACAGGAAGGTGAGGTATTAGGGGAAAGGAAGGAGGGAGGAGAGGCAAAGGGGATGAAGGGCAAAGGGAGCGGCTCTCCCAGGGCCAGAGGCTGGTTGGGTGGCACTGGCGGGTGGTTGTGGTTAGGTGGCTATGCTGGACTATGGCTAAACCATGAGCCTCAGGGCCAAAAAGAAGAGTGTGAAACTCCAGGGCATACCTGGCGCACAGGCTCACTACCCTTCTGCCTTCTTCAGGTCTGGAATGTCACACCTGGGCCCAACCCCACCAAAGGCTGCAGCCTGTTGTAAGGGTAAGGCCTAGAGTCTGGGATCCTTACTTTGTGGGGTCTGGGGGCCTCACCGAGATGGCTGCAGGGGGAAGGCCTATGGGGAGCTGGGCCCAGGTGTGGGTAGTAGAGAGGAGGGCCCGTGCCCATCTAGTCTGCTCATATCCTGGAAGGTGAGGATTGCCTCGGGGAGCCCTGCTGAGGTAGAACCTAGGACTTTGAGACCCAGCCCCTATGCCCCACCCTTAACCCATTCTACCCGCCTCCCCTACCCCCTGGAGAAGGGCCCTTAAGTCCCACTTGCCTCCCTCTCATTCTAGTCCAGTCCAGAGCCTTGGTTCCCAGGCTGCAGGGCCTTTTGGGCAAATGGGGAGGAGGAGAGTGAGGAGGGACCAACCCGGCTCCCAGCCCACTCCTCTCCATTTTCCTTGGGTGCCAGTAGGGTGAGGATCCTGGCCTAGAGGACCCATTGCCCTCAGGAACACTAAAGGAAGGGGCTCCCCACTGAATCCCCCCAGTCAGATCACAGATCAGCCTAGTGACCTCACCAGCTGGTGGGGGGTGGAGCCTTCTGAGGGTGAGTAGGAGGGGCAGATGAAAGGCTCCCTGAATCAGGCATTACCAAAGGCATTTACAAATGTCCACCTGCCTCTCTTCATCTAAGTCCTCTGTAAACAGGACAGTGACAACCAGAGGCAGGGTGCACCATACCCAGGTGTGGTGCATGGAGGCCTTACCGCCTGGGCTACTGTTCCAGGCCCCACAGCCCAACATGTTAATAGCCGACCAGCCTCGGTCCAGTGAGGACTTGACCGACTGGGGAAGGCCGTGCAGTGTCGGGAGTGGGGGCACTCTGCAGGCAGCAGACTTGGGATTTGATCTTAACACTGGTTAGCTGAGCAACCTTAGACAACTTACCTAGCCCTTCTGAGCCTCAGTTTCCCCACCAGTAACAGAGGGATAATAAAAGTAGCCACAGTCATTCATTCATTCACTCATCCATTTGTTCCACAAGTCTGTATTGAGCATATACAGACCAGCCAGCCACTGTCCCTGTTTTCCCATAGCTGACGTTCCAGCAGGGGACAGAAAATTAAATAATCCAGGGTCAGCTTGTGGCCAGTGCTATGAGGAGATGAAGGCTGGTGACTTTTGACTTGAGACTGGACCTTGAGGTCAATCCCTGAAAGAATATCTGAAGTGACAGCAGTGCCAAGACAACTGCTTGGCATGGCTGGGGCAGAGTGAGGGAGAGCAACAGAGGTCAGAGGCCAGCCTGGCGAGGACAGGTGTGGAGTTCAGGGTCCCTGAGGATAGATGAATCGGGAGGGAGAGCACTGAGGAAGCCCCCGGGGAGAGAAGGGAGGTGTAAGGACAGGGTTAGGGGCTGGACTAGGAGGTGTAGCTGGGGCAGATGAGAGGAGGAGTGGGCTCTCCACTCAGCATAGAGCCTGGCAGGGACTCAGGCCTACTCTTGCTCTTAGCAGTTGGAAAGGTTGACACAGACTTGATTCAGGGGCTGTGTCCCAGAGCTTCTGCAGACTCTTGGGGTAGGGAGTTGTGTGCATTTGCTTTTGAATTTGTTCCACAACCCCTGATAGACCCCAGGTTTGTAGCTAATGGTGGACTTGGAGGCTGTGATGCCAGGAGAAGGGACCCAGGGCCAGGAAGCCCCAATCAGGGCCTAGGCCATCCATGCAGGGGTCAGTAGCCAGCACCTTCCCTTCCGCCTGCAGGCTGCTGATAGGCGGGAGGAAATCCTGGCGGGTTCCTGTGGGGGTGAGCTGGCGGGGCCTCGAGGCTGCTTTAAAAGCAAGTGCCCGCCCCCATCCCACTTGCCCGCCCTTTGCCTGCCTCCCAGAGCTCATTCCCCACACAGGCTGCCCCAACTCTGTGCTGGACAGTGTGCCTGCCAGCCGCCGCTGGCCATGGCAGGGCCCCGGGGCCTCCTCCTGCTCTGCCTCCTGGCCTTCTGCCTAGCAGGCTCCGGCATCGTCACGGGGCAGAAGGTGAGTGTGAGCCAGTTGCAGGGGGTTATCCAGGTGTGCAGGCCCTGCTGGTCAGTGGTGGGAACAGGGAGGGAGTGTACACAGATCGGGAACAGGTCTGGGGACACACAGGCAGTTGCCATGTGTCTGACCTTCCCTGAGCAGGTCCAGAGGGCCAGGCTGTTACGTCCATCTCCCTAAGCTGAGGTCTGTTTGTGGCAGCTTGGGGTGGTAGGGGTGGCAGCCTGCCCTCCTCTAACTGTGCCTGACCAGCCAGCCGTGTGGTGTGGTGTGGTGTAGTGTGGTATGGTGTGGACAGCCATCCCTAGGTCTCCCAGGCCTGAGGGCAAGAGGCACAGAGCCAGGCCCATCCTCCTGCCCTCCAGCACAGACTGAGGCCCAATTTCTGTGTGGCCATAGCCTGAGGATTAGAGATGTGATTACCTCCAATCTTCGCAGGGCTGACAAACTGAGAGACTCATGTGGCACAGGTGTGTGCATGCTGTCTGTGTGTCTGTGTGTCTGTTTGTCTGTGTCTGTGTGTATGTGCTTGTGTGCCTGTGCCCAACCCCACGAGAGCCCAGAGGCAGAGTGAGGTCTGCTGACAGTTTGTCTAGGTAAATGGCAGCCAAAGATAACACCCTCATGCCTAAGAACTGCTGTTTATTGAGTGCACAGCTCTGGCACACCCAGTATTATCCCTCAAACCCTCACAGTCCCTAAGCAGGGGGTCCTGTTCTCCACCTAAGGGAGCCAAGGCCCAAGGATGGTGAAAACCGGTCAGTCCAGCTCTGGAGCTGTGCAGACCACCACCTGCGATTCCTTGTCCAGCCAGGAGGGGGCCGCAGAACGGTCCTGGCGTGGGGCTGTCAGGCCCATGAGCACCCACCCCTCCAGGCTGCCCTTCTGCGGGCCCACCCAGGCCCTGTAATAGGGACATTGTCCCAGCTAGAATTTCTGAAAGAGTCTTTCACCCTAAATATGGAGATAGAGTCACCTAGCGGAGCCTACCTCCAGGTGAGGGACCCTCCCCTGCAAGGCCAAGGTCTTCTGATTCTGGGGGTAGCTGCTGCTGTCCTGTATCACTCACAGGCAGACTGAAGTCCATAGAGAGAAAGGATTTACCCAGGATCCCACTGCCAGGCAGAACCAGGACAGGAACCCAGGATCCCACTGCCAGGCAGAACCAGGACAGGAACCCAGGATCCCACTGCCAGGCAGAACCAGGATAGGAAGAGGCAAGGAAAGGGAGCTCGTCAGGTTCCGGGCCAGGTCAGGGTTGGGGACGGGCAGATCTGAGGCTGAAAATGTGACAGTGATGGTGGAAGAGCCAGGGGTTGCAAACTGTTCCTGCAGGTGAGTTCCTGTTCCCTCCCTGCCTCAGTTTCCCCATGTGTACAATGCAAGGGAATTTCAAAGGCCTTGCTACCTTCTCATGTTCTGGGAAGAGGGGTCAGTGAGGGGCTTCAGATGAGACATTTCCCTTGTCGGAGACCCATGATTCTGACCACCTCTAAGCCTGCCTTCTGGGGCTGGGGCTCAGCCAGCCTGGGCCAGGAAAGAAGGGCCCAGAGGTTCTTGTTGACAGGAACACAGCATTGCTGGCCTCCTGTCACACACCATCAGCCACTCAGCCCTCCCAGCATCCTGTGTTGAGTGAAACCCACTGTAAATATTAGGAAACTGAGACTCCGAGGGGAAGGGATAACCTCTGGGTCACACAGTGAGGGGCAGGAGCAGGACTCAAGCACAGACAATTTCAGGCAGTAGAGGCATGGAGGGCTTCCTGGGGGAGGAGAGTCTTAGCACCTGTCCATTCAATAGTCTTTTACCAAGCACCCTCTCTGTGCTAGGAGTATGCTGGTGCTAGTGGAGCCTTTGGTCTCCAGCTGGAGTTTGAAGGCAGAGGGGCATTGATCTAGGGCAGGGGAAGTAGGTTGGGGGTCCCTTCCTCTGAGGGAGTTCGGTTTCTGGGTCCAGCTTGGGGGAATTTCTTTCATGTTCTCACAGTAGACTCAACACCTCGTGTCTCCTCAACTTCCCCAGCAGCGTCTCTGTGGGAAGCAGACATTGCAAAATCAGTTCTGGATTTGGGCAGGGAGGGGTGCAGCCCCCGCCTGGCTTGGGCAGCTCCCGAGGTGCCCCCAGGAAAAAGAGAATCTGATTCAGCACTTGGATGTAGTCCAGCCTCACTGCCCAGCGGGACCAACAGCGAGGCTGGGCTGAGGTTGCTGATGCTCCTTCCGGGCCACCTCGCAGAGGGACCCTCAGTGCCTGCCTGTGGGGTGGTCCCAGAGGAAGTGTGATTTGGTGGCTGGCTTAGCCGTCCATCACCATTTCACACATTTACAAATGAGGTGTCCTGGGAATGAGTGTCTACCAGCACACAGGGGTCCGGCCTCCTGTGCCCGGAATCCACCCACCACTTTATCAGGAGTCAGGACAGTGTGCTCTCATTGCCCCTGAGCCCCTCTCCAGGCTGACCAACATTCCTCTAAGAGCTGGTCCATGGGCCAGTGGTGACTGCCCTGGCATCTGTGCCCAGCTAGCTGGCCAGGTGGCCCTCAGGGAAGCCCGCTGCCTGCTGAGTCTTTGCCCTGAGCCAGCAGCTGCCTGACCCTGGAGTTACCCAACTTCCTAGCCGCTCCCTGGCTCAGCAAAGACCGAG